GCCAGCCAGCACCCAGCTTTGCTTCCCTTGGCAGCAAAACTCCAAGCTGCCGTCCACATTTGATGGCTCCGGCCCCTCTTGAACTCAGCTGGCGGATCTCATCCCTCACTCTCTGCTGGTCAAGTGACACCTAGATCTTGGGGTCCCACAGAGAAGCCCCAGGGGCTGCCGTGGGGTAAGGGGAGGCCTGTGTAGCAAGACTCCCTTCTCAATCTGAGCAGCACCCTTTCTATGTGTGGGGGGTCCAGGCTTCTAAGTACGGCTTCTTTTGAGGTTCCATCAAGCTGCTTTGAAACCTCTGGCTGCGTCTAGACGTGCAACCGTCGAGGCACTGACTTGGGGAGGTGGGGAGGGGGCCTTGCCTAAGTCCCCCAGCCCACAGCAACATCAGGCCTGGGCTCCAGCCCACCTCCCTGTCTTGCAGGAGCCGCCCACACAGAGCCTACCTCTCTCCTTCCCTTTGCCAGGCCCGGGGGCCCAGGAGCCCGGACCTTACAGAGCACACGGTGAAGGACACCCGCCGTGGTGAAGTACCTAAGTGCATCCTCCTCTGCCACTAACTGCTAGTCCACAAGTTAGTGATGTGTGACCCTGGGGGGAATTCGGGCTAGGACGTTTTTGGTAAGAAATGACGAGAGCTAACACATACAGCACTTACTCCACGCCAGGCCCTGCTTTATGAGCTCTGCACACATTCATGCAGCCCTACGAGGGAGACCTTTCCCACTTGGGATATGAACCCAGACAGCTGCCTCCACTTTGGACTCCTGACACCTGCACTGTAGGAGGCTGGGACACAGAGCTGTGTCCGAAGCCGCCCTAGCCGTGCAGAGTTAGAGATGCATCCAGGACGGGTGCGCCAGAGTTCGAAAAGGTACTAGCTCTGCCACTCCCCGAGCCTCAGTTTCCTCATCTGTAAAGTGGGCCTGCTGTTGAGGACCAAATTATGATGTGTATCAAGTGCCTAGAGCAGAGAGCGCTCACTAGATGCCCGCTACTGTCACTGTCATTAGCATCTCAGATCTGGACACTCTGCCCAGGGGCTGCAGGAGTCTTGAGGGACTTGCAGTTTACCAAGAGTGGTGGACTCCGTCAAGGAGAAGGGAACCCAGGGTGCTCAGAACATCACCACGCCCTCAGCAAAGGCAGCAGAGGGTGCCGGGGGGAAGAAGAGCAGGAGAAGGGGTAGGAGGAACGGCAGACCCGCGGGCCCACTCCAAGCCAAGAGTCGCCTGTGGACCCACCAGGCACCCAGGTCACCTTTGCGAGGCCAGGCCCCCATGGGCAGCTGTGCAGAGGGCAGCTGCAGAGGGCTGGGGCTGCCGCTCAGAGGGAGCAACAGGGTGGTGGACCAGGCTGTGCGTATCTCTGCCGCGGGCACTACTCTCTCTTGCTCTGTTCTCTATACCTGCCTGTACTCAGGCCCTCACAATCCAGCCTCCTTGCCGCCACCCCAGCCAGAGGGAGCCTTGCCTCAGACGGCATTCCCCAGGGCTGCCCTAAAGGGAGGGTCGAGATCACACTACCTGGCATACGATGGGTGCCCAACGACTGTGGCTGAAAATGGCATATGGTTTACACAGACTCAGCGCCTGCTGTTTGCCAGGCAGTGCTGGGCACACACTCTGGGGCCACAAGTGTATGGACACAAGTCCGTGCCACCCTTGGAGAGCTCACATTTGATGGGGACAGGGACGTAGACAATTTCAGGACAGTGAGAAAATTTCAGGACAGTGTCATCTAATACAACCTGAGGGGCAGGGATCCAGAAGGGGCAGGGAACATTCCCAGGGGAGATGATGCCTCTAATCCAACCGCCCACTTACAGACAAGGAAGCAGAGCTCAGCTAGGAAAAGTGAGCTTCCCAGGGACCACAGGTCAGGGACCACATCAGAGCTGAAAGGCAGTTCTCCCAGCCCCGGGTCAGAATTCCTTCCAGAGCAAGGGTGCTCACCCTCACGACTGACACTGGGCCTGACCATTCTTTACGGTGACGGCTGCCTGTGCCTTGCAGAATGTTTAGCAGCGCCCCTGGCCTCTGCCCACTAGATGCCAGTGGTACCCTCCCTATCAACCGTGACATCCGAACGCCTCCAGACCTTACCAAACGTCCACTGAGGAGCAAAACTGCCCTCGGTCGAGAGCTACTAGTCTAGAACTTGGGAAATCTGAACCGAGATGAGAGAGGCATTGGTCAAAGTCAAGCCCTGGGCCACAGATGTGGACAAAAACGTCTGCTGTCAGGGCTGGGCCGGCCTTGCAAATAGGCCCCAGGCTTACCAGCCCAGGTTCACTTTTTACCAGTGTGCCCGCACTTCTGAGATCCCTGACATTTGCGTCTCGCTTGTAACTTTTTCAAAGTGCTTCAGCTCACCACACCCCTGTGAGGTGTATAAGAGAAAATATTCTGTTATTTTCCTCATTCTACAGATGAGGAAACTGAGGTTCCAGAAGCTTAGATGCACCAAAGTCACCCGGTGAGCTAGTGGCCAAGCCCGGCTGGAACTCACCCCATGGAGCCGCCCCAAGACAGAGACTGACAGGGCGGAGAGAGGAAGGTCTTTCAACTTCTGCATCTACTTCTGGAAGCCTGTGTCCCTAGGACTCAAATCCATTAGTTCCTAACAATCCCCAGGGGCACCATAACTCTGGTCTCTTACAGATGAGAACTATGGAGGCTCAGAGAGGACAAGAGCACATCCAATTGCACACGAGAAGGCCTGGAGGGGAGCTGGGCACTAGCCCTCTTCCCTCAGTGCCAGCTCACCTCCAGGCTGGGCCCGAAGGGTCTGGGCCGCTCCCAGGCCATGACTGCGCCCCTTAGACCCTGCCTGACCAATGGGTCCTTCCAGGCACTTAGCGGGCTCCACTCCCCATCAACATGGAACATCTGGTACTTATAACTCCCTCCCTCTGACGCAGGCAGGGGAGGCCTGAGTGAGAGAATGTTTTCATCTGTGAATCAGTTCTGCTATTAAGAGTAATCATTCGATCGCTAACTATTGGTGATAGCAATGGTTCACACGTTTGTGCAGTTATTACACACCAGGAACAATCCTGGGGGCCATTAAAGCCCTACTGACTAAAGCGTGCTGCAGCCCCACGGGGCAGGAGTCATCGGCCCCACTTTACAGATAGTCAAGCTGAGTTTCAGACAGGTTAAGGAGCTTTACGGCCAGTACGTGTGGGTGACAGGATCCCAACTCAGACCTGGTTGACTCTGAGGCTCTGTGCTCCTCCCACTGCATCGAGACCCCAGAACTCCAAGGGGCACAAATGGGCAAATATACCAGAAAAGACAAACTCATTAGAGCCTGAAGTGGGTTTTTTTTAGCAAGTTGAATAAACCATCCGTAGTCTTGCGCATCCGATCCACCCTGTAAAGAAATCCCTTCTCCTTAGAAATCACAAAGGTAAACTTACGGCTGCCAGACCTATGAGCATGGTGGGCTCGGTTAAGAAGGGTTTGGAGTACTAAGCAGAGTGAGCCTGGCTGCTGCCCCCGGCCTCTGGTGGTCCCAGGAAGTGGGGAAAGAGCAATGTAGTGGTTTCCCAAGTACCAACCACCCCACTGCAGTCTCCAGATGGAGAAAGGATAGGGGACAGTGGGCAGGCTAGTACCCCCAGGAAACATGAGTCCTCAGGGCACAGCAGTGTGGGATGCCCACCTACCCCTACCTGCACTGCCTATGGAGTCACCTGTCATAGATTCCTCCTGCCAGGGTCAGCAGCCATCCAGCCAAGTGCAGGCCCAGTTTGGGCGATTTTCTTCCCCAACTAAAATGTGAAGTTCAAGGCGGCACTTCTCAGAACCACCCTGAGCAAGTCCCTTCTCTCTCGGCCTCCTGAACTCACCTAGAAAAGGTGTGATGCTGCCCAGTGGGTTCTGAAGGGCACATGGCTGTGGACTTCAGGTAAAGAACCAGCCCTGGGCTCTGAATGGAGCCGGGCCTTGCTTCCTGGTCCTGGGCCCCTTCCTGCCCTCAGCAGCCGTTTGCAGGGGGTTGGGGCGCATCCCTAGGCCAGAGAGAGGGGCTGCGGGGTAGTCCAGCGGCAAGGACAGGTTCTTCCTCCTCCCCTCTCTGGGCCTCTGGGTCTCAGTCCCAGGAGCTGGAGCCTGGCAAGGTCAGCAGAGTGCTGAGACAGGCAGGATGCCCATCCTCCTCTGAGAGGACAACAGGGGCACACAGGTGACAGGAACAGGACTGGCTGGCCCCTTCCCCACAGTCCAGAGGTTCAGGGCGCAGAGGATAAGTTACAGGCCTGGTGGCTCAAGGTCCCCTTCACAATGGGTGTGCCCTGGAGGGGCTCCTTCTAACCTGCCCAGAAGTGGGAGGGAGGTACCTAAGGTTGGGAAGCAACTCTAAGGGTCCCTGTCAGGGGTCCCAGGGAGGCCATCAGTGTCTGAGTTAAGAGTAGGTCTGTCTCCTCAGTTAATATTTTATTGAGACCGAAACGTGGCGCCTGAGGGTTTGGTTACCTATCCCTGAGCCTTGCCTGGGGAAGGGGACTGTGGGCTAAGAGTCGAAGGAACGGCCCATCACTCAGCAGAGGTTTTATGTTACTCGCTGCTGCAGCCTGATGCCCTGGGCTGAGGGTCCTTCTTGTAATCTTCACCCTGTGCCACCCCCCACCACCGGGCGGCCAAGCCGGCCGTGCTCACTGGGGGCGGCTAAGACCGGCGGGCCTAGGACAGCCAGGGGTGCCCTCTCGAGGTGTCACCAGCATCTCACTCACACCCACCCCAAGCGCCGCGGCTCCATCCCCCCTGGGACTCTTCAGAGCCCGAGCCTTCGCTGCCCCCTTAGTCCCAGGCCAGCCCTCCGGAGCCGGGAGGGGGCGGCGGTCGAGGCGGGCAGGGCCGCGGAGCTCAGCGTCCCTGAGGGCCGCTCCTCGCCGGACCCGGGAACCCGCACCCCGGAGCGCAAGTGCTGTTCCCTCCCCTCTGACCGCTGGCCCCCGGCGCAGGGCAGCGGAAGGGCGGGTGGCCGTGCGTTACCTTCCATGGACATGGGCTCCAGGATGCCGAACTGCTTGAGGACGGCGATGAACAGCAGTACCACCACGGCCATGGCGCACAGCTCCATGCCCTGGATGCCCATGGCGGCCCGGGCTACCTGGGGCCGGGGCGTGCCCCTCGCCCGCGCGCTGCCTCTGGAGGCACAGGGGCCGGTGCAGCCTGCCCGGCCTCTAGGGGAGACGGCGGCTCACATGCCCCAGGCAGGCGGCGCTGCGGCTGTCGGCGGGGCCGGGGCCCCGCGGAGGGCGGCGGCGGCGGCGGCGGCGAGCTGGGACCGGCCAGGAGGTTGGACCCCGCGCGGCGGCCGAGCACAGCGCAACTTTCCAAGTCAGCCGGCAAACTTCGAGAAGCGGCGGCGCGGAGCGCAGCTCGGGCAGACGGCGCGGGCCAGAGGCGCCTCCATGCCCGGCGCGGGCGCCGCGCCTCTTTCGCCCCCTCTCCAGCCTCACGGGCTCCGGGGCGCGGGGTCTGCGGGGGTCCCGGGCGCTCCCGGGAGCTCCCGGCTGCCCCAGCCTCCATCGCGGCTCCCGGCGCGCTCATTGGCCTAGGCGCGGCGACCACCCGGGGAGGAGTCCCCTGCGGCCCACCCCCCCCCCGCGCCAGCCCGGGAAGGGGCGGAGGGAGGCGGCCCCGCCCCGCACGGGCCAGCCCCCAGACGGAGTCTGGCTCCGAGCCACCGCTACACCGCCAGACCCCGGGAGGCCGCGCGGTCGGCGGTTTCAACGAACCGCCCGTGCAGGGTGGGGCCGAGTGGCTGGGCAGGGGGCCGGGGCCGGAGAGGAAGGGAGTCGCAGCGCCGCTCCCAGTGGGGAGTCGGGGCTCCCCTCTCCTGGCGGAGGAGCACTGAGCCTGGCCACCGCCAATCTCCGCCCGGCGGGCCAGCGCAGAGCTGGCCTTCGGAGGATCCGGGAAGCCCTCTCGCCCCAGGGTATTTCCCACAACCACCAGCCCACGGCCCGAGATTGAACTTGGCCCGGGTCTGGCCCCCGCTGAAAATGGAAAAGTTGGTATCCAAAGTTCAGGAAACCCGCATGCGCTCGAGGCTTTAGGAGGGAGTTGGGCTTTGGCATTAGAGTCTATGGAGCTGAGTTCAGATTCTGACTTTGCTGCGTGACCTTGGTCGAGTCACGGACTTGCCGCCTCCTCCTCCTCCTCCTCCTCCTCCCCAAAGAGGGGCTGGTGCCTGCCTTTCCGGCTGTGGGAAAGAGCTGAGTGGATGCCAAGTGCTACGCGCGGGTAGCGCAAGGGAGTGCTAAATCGTTTGTGGATCGATTTCTTCCAGCCCGGGGTCACTGGGTAGAAAAGGAAAGCCGCGGAAAGGAAGGAGAGAGGAAGGGGAGAGGAGGGGGCGTGGCAGGGCGGGGCCCGGAATCCTCCAAGCCCCCAAACTCCGGGACTTGAGGCCCGGAGCCGTGACTCTCTGCTGCCCTCCAGCGGGCGCTCCGCACCGCGGTGTCCTCACCAGCCCAAGACTCCAGGCGCTGGAAGCGTGCGCTGCTGTGAACATCAAGTTCTCCTTTTCTCTGTTGTCTTAGTGGAGGGGGAAATCCAGCCCCGTACCACGCTTGTGAGCGTTAACCCTGTTTGGACCTGGGGCCTGAACAATAGCAGCTTCCATTTATGGAGCCTCTACTACCCACTCTGTCATTCATTCAACAAATACTGAGAGTGTACTGCGTCCCAGGCGCAGGGGACAGTTCCCAGGGCAGGGCAGGGCGGGAAACCGCCGCGTGCGCCGCTGAGGGCCCCGCAGGAGCTGCAAGCGAGCCTTTAGCTTTACTTGTAATCCTTAAGGGCTCCCCCAGTGGGCATTCCTCTTCCCCCATTTTACAGGTGAGAAAACCGAGACCTAGAGGGTGGATTATGGAAGGGGATATAGGTGCAGCCCAGGCCTGCTGGATGCCAGAGCAGATGCTTTCCCAGGAAACCGCACTGCTTCTGGTGGAAGCTGAAGCAGAGAGAGGCTGTGACGTCTCTTTCCGCCTGTGCAGTTCAACCTCACTATTTAACACACCTGGGTAAAAGACTGAGTTATTGGAGATATTTTTAAAGAACTATAAATGCACAGCTTTCGATTCCATTTAAGTGGGCATGTGGTGAGTCTCCACTGACCAAAGGCAAGAGGTCGAAGTAGAGATGCTAACGATTGCAGGAGAATGTGGTTCTGTTAGAGCCCACGAGTTGCTTGTGTGTAAAAGTCTAGAAAGGTTAAAAAGCCTCCTGCCATCTAATTTACACGCTTAAGTGCTGAGCAAAATCTAGCCTGTGTCGCAGCTAGTTCCCACCAGTCCTCGCTCGACAGCCTGGTTAAAAGCCCAGCGATGCGAAACCTCCTAAGCCTGTTCCTCATCCATAAAACAGGGGTGATAATCCAACCTCTCCAGGGGCTTGTAAAGGACTGAATAAGACAAGGACCGGCATGTGTCGCAGGCTCCGACAGGGGCGGGTCCTCCTGAGCTGCCCCAGCCCTGCTCCCTGCCTCAGTTTCCCCTGGTGCTCCCGAGCGTCTCCCCTGTGAAAGCTTCAATGACTGCCCATAAACACTGAGCTAGAAAGGAGACATCGATCTCTGGCTCTGCGGTGTAAAATATTAACGACGCCTAAGTGGATACCGGGGCTGAGAGCAGAATGTCCGCGCGGCATTAGCAGCCGGGGCCAGGGGCCTAATGGATGGGAAGCTGATTCCCCTGCTCGTTCACTAGCCCGGGGCCTGCCAGCTCTGGGGGCCAACCTAGGTCCACTGAGGCTGTGCCGGCAGCCCTGTCACACCTCCTCTTGCCCAGGACCTAGCGAGGGGAGCTGGCAGACAATCCCCCAAGTCCCACACCTCCTCCCCACACCCATGGAGTGCCAGGCCAGGCCTTTCCCAGCTGCCTCTAGCTCCCCACAGGGCGGCATTTGCCCTGGCATGCACTCACCCCTCCCCCACTCCCCAAAGGCAAGCTGGGTGTCGGCAGTGCTCCGTGCCAGCTCCCTGCCTTGGGGGAGGGGCAGGCTCAGGGGAGGGGCACAGACACAGACATCTCTGCAGGGCAGGGGGCTGAGGGCTGCCACAGATGTAGAGAAATAAGAGGGAGCCACTGGCTCTTCCTCAGATGACGAGGGAAGCCTGGAGGGCCCTGAGCCCTCACTGGAGGTCCCCGAGGCACCGGTGTCCTGATCTACCTTAGAACGTTTCAGAAACCCAGCTGCTTTGGAGCTGGGTGGGGCGCCCTCCAAACCTAGGCTTGCACCCCAATGCCTGAGGTTACGGTTTTCCTTTGGCCTGGAATTTTGAGGGGTTTTTTTGGCCTGGAATATTTTTGATGCCACTCCAGTTCTGCCTCCAGGAAACCAGCCCGGATCACACCACCAACCACCTGCATTAACCCTCTCTCCCCTGAACCCGCGAGGCCTCTGCTGCGTGGGCCACACCTTCTGCGCTGTGTGTCTCAGCTGTCAGCCCAGACATCTTCCATGTCATCCGCGCTGCCCCACCGCTCTTGTGGGCAGGGACCCTGTCACTTTGGCCAACATTCATTGGACGCCGCCTGCCTGCTGTTGCTGATCACCTAGCTGCCCAAGGATTTCAAGAGGTCTTTTGACTCTTCAGGGAGGAATGGGGACGGACACATGCTGTTTAGAGGGACACGTTGCCTGCAAACAGCCCAGCAAGTTAGTTGTTCCTGTCCCGACTCTCTGGAGGGCAGGCCTCCCTTGGTTCTAGTGCATTCTACTGGGCAGAGCAGGCGTTATGCAATTTATTCATCCTTCTCATATTTCATAACAACCAGACAAGAATTCCACAGGCCAAAGACATGCCTCTAGGACTCCTCCCCGTCATGGCCCAGGGCTCCTCAAAGCCGGACACTCAGTCTTGCCCCACCCCAGCCCCTCCTCAAGCTCCCTGTCTCAACTGCTCAGGCCAAAACCCCGGCTCTTAGACTGGGCTCTGCCCGTCCCCGCTCCTGCCCAGTCTGTCACCTAGCTCTGGCACCGTGCCTCTTTCTCATCCATCTCTGCTCCTAGTGGCAGCCGGCCCAGCCACGCCATCGTCCCTCTCCCCTGTACTCGCGACATCACCCGCGGCCCCAATGCCTCTCCCCACCTCCGCTCTGTCCTCCTATCTCTTCTCCATTCGGCAGCCAGAATGCTCATCTCTAGGTGAAGGTCAGGTCCCGTCCTTCCCTGGCTTGGGAATCTCCAGTGGCTCTCGGACTCCACACTGGTTGTGTTTGCTCGGTCTCCCTCCCCCTGATTTGGCACCCTGATTTCCTTTGTTGAACCTCCTGCCCTTGCCAGCCTCAGGCCAGTGATTTCAGGGGGTTGGGGATACGACTGGTCGATCAGCATCAGTTCCTCTTTTCCTGCTCCACAACACCCCTCTGCTGCCATGTGATTGGCTCAGGGATGGGCACCAGATGGGAGCCAGGATGCTGACAGACCTCGTGGGACTGGCCCTGGACAAGCAGGGGAGAAGCACTCTCTTACTATGGCAGCTAAGTGGCCACCCCGCCACCATGTGAGGCCAGTGAGCCTGAGAATGTAGTCACCTCATGAGAAAGCAGAGCAAAATGTAGAGAGAAAGAAACTGAGTCCGGCACACAATACCGTGTGCCTGGATCCAGCTGTGCCTGATGGCACATTCAAACCTATATCTTTCAGTTAGAGGAGCCAATAAATCCTCCTATTGTTGCCTAAGCCAGTGTGAGTTGGGTTGCTGTCCCTTGCAACCAAGATGGTCCCGATGAATGCATTTTCCACTACTCACAGAACAAAGGCCAAAATCCATAACAAACCCCATAAGAGCCGCGGACATCTTCTGCGCACTTGCTGTGTACCAGGCACTTCAGCACAGCTCATGTCCCTCGTTCCTCACAGAGCCCGATAAG